ATCCAAACCATATTTTTAGTGATACGGAATTGTGCATTTTTCCGTATCCTATTATGATACGTTATTTCTAAGGAAAAAAATCGTATAAAAACTTTATAAAAAACGTATCCAATTTTTTTATAGGGCAGGGGCTACATAAGGTATAACTCCATAAATTTTGTTTTCATCTTTTATATTACCGACTTCTCCACATAATCCCATATCTGAAATATATATTCTACTATAATGGGTTACAAGTTGCTTCTTCAACTAATAAATTTCCTACATGAAAATCACGATGAACCTTTTGTTTTTGATGAATATTTAGAAGTCCTCTAATAATACTCAATATTGATTGTAATTTATATGCCCAATTAAATTCATTATAATTTTTATTTAAATGATAATATAAACTTCTTCCCCTTGCATGATCTAGAACTATAAGATAATCTTTTGTATCTGGATTTTGAGACAATCCATATATTCGGATAATATTTTCATCATAACCAAGAGAATATGCTCTAATCTATTAAAATGTGAAAATTTATTATTTTATATAAAATAAAATTTAATTATATATGTATATAAAGTTTCTTACCTCATTTAAAAATTCATCAATAATATTTTGTGATGAATTAAGCAAATATTTTAAAGCGACTTTACTATTACCACTCATTCTTCTAAATTTTTCTTCGTAAGATAACTGAATGGACCATCCTTCCATATTGCTGAATAAACTATGGCAAATCCTCCCTTACCTATTTCTTCAATCTTATTAAACTGATTGTAAGGTATCCACTCAAATATTATATCAGAAATATTATGATACTCCATATATTTTATCCCTGTATTCAGAGTTGTTACCCTAATAAAATAAAATAAAATATTACCAAAATAATTAAAATAAAATAAATTAATAAAAAAAATTTTATACCTTGTTAAAAAATTCTTCAGTAATATTTTGTGAATTAAATGATTTTAAAGTAACTATTTTATTCTGATTTTTTAAATTTCTTTTTTATTTTTATCATAATTCAACTGACCATTTTTCCATATTGCTGAATATATTGTAAATAAATCATTTTTACCTATTTCTTTAATATTATCAAACTGATTGTATGGTATCCATTCAACTATTATATCATTATAATGATTAATTTTTAGTTGAAATTCTTGAATGAAATTATCAACTTTTTCATTTCCACTAGTCCAATTTATAAAATTTTTCTTTAAATTATCTATTTGACATGGTTTACACCATTTTTTATTCCAACAATACATAAAAATCATATATTCTTCACCATATTTTTCACAATATTCATCTTGAATAACTATTATATAATCTTTCGTATACGGATTTTGTGATATTCCATATATCAGAAGAGTATTACTATTGCGTCCCTTTATTCGAAAATTAATTAGTATAAAAATAATATAAAAAAATTATTTATATTAATGTTTCATACCTTGCTTAATAATTCATTGGTAATATTTTGTGAATTATACATATATTTTAAAGCAACTTGTTTTTTTCCTCACTTTCTTTTATATTCTTTTTTATAAAGACAATAATATAAAGGACCATCCTTCCATATTGTTGAATATATTGTACTAAAACCATCTTTTCTTATTTCTTTTATATTATCAAACTGATCATATGGTATCCATTCGATTATTATATCATTGTAATCATTAATCTTTAATTGAAATTCTTGAATAAAATTATCAATTATTTCATTTCCAATAGTCCAATTTGCAAAATTTTTCTCTAAATAATTTATTTGACATGTTTCACACCATTTGTACTTCACATTTGTATATTTTTTACCACATTTTTCTCTTGAAAAACAATAAAATATTCTTTTGTATTTGGATTTTGAGATATTCCATGTATTTGAATATCATCAGAAAAAGAATATGATATAACCTATTATAAATAATAAAAAAATTATCACAATTAAATATATATATATTAAAATGTTGTATTAAAGTCATTTCATACTACCTTATCATAAAATTCGCTGGTAATAATTGGTAAATCATACAAACAACTGAAAATAATAATTTTTTCATTCTTAGATTTCCTTACATATTCCTTTTTGTGATGACAATAGTATAATGGACCGTCTTTCCATATTGCTAAATATAAAACATTGTTTATTTCTTTAATATCATTCAATTGGTTGTATGGCATCCATTCAAATATTATATCATTTGGTCCATGAATCTTTTGATTTTTTCTTGAATTAAATCATCAATGATTTCATTTCCGCTTGTCCAATTTGTAAGGTTTTTTTTAAAATTATTTATTTGACATGGTTTACACCATCTATCTTTTACAAATGTATATCCGTCGCCACATTTTTCACAATCTATATCAATTTGTAACATTTTTTTATTATTCAAAAAAAAAGCGAACGATGAAACAGCTGGGAACGCACATCAATTTACACTGCATATTTATTTAGTTTTGATGACCATGCCGATCGTACTCTATTAATCTGGTCATCATAATAATCACGTGACAGTCGTGACATTTTAAATGATATTTGATGATTTTTTGAATTGCTGATCCGTATTCTTTATAGTTATCGGCAAGTCAGTACATCAGGACCCGAGTTAAGCTTGGTGAGTGCAGTCCGGTGGGGAGTGACACGGACACTGTAAGGCATAACCTAGACACGATATGTGATAAAAAAATAAACTAATTTTTCTTTCCTAATATGGTAATTTCCGGTCTATGCACGTTCATGCACGTAATTCGTCACTGATGAGTCCGCATCACGTCCATGTAAAAAATACCGGACTGCACTCAATAATAACCTCACGTCCTCACCGGACCGGACTCAATAACGAATAACCCATGTAGGTCAGGGGAGATCGGTACACATGCTCTACGTATTTCTTCAGGGCCGGAACTATGTAATGCTGGTCGTAATATCCACAAATGGAAGCGATCTACATGATTTTGGCTCATTCTAAGCAAATAAGACCCTTTCTATGTATAGCTCGGAGTCCTAGTACAAATGCACGCCATTGTACGCCATTGTGTTACATACATTTCGATCGACTGTCGGTATAGAACCACTTCTTTTTGTAATAAAAAATATGGAAGGAAGTTCAAGTCAGGTAAATTATTATTTTAAGCAAACATTAAAAATTTAGTCAATTATAAATCATTTTTCATTAGAATTAATTTTATATAATAATAGTTTGGAAGTTCTACTAATACTGCTCCTGGTAACCTAGATAATAATAACTCTCTTTCGTATAAAACGATTTTGTATGAAAATATGTTCAACAATCGTATCCTTCTTAAATTAGGAGAAGATGGATTCATCACGCCTGATGAAAAGGCAAAAGAACTTATTAAGGAACTATCCGAAATAAAGTATTTATATGCTCTGAATGTGCTTTTTGAAAACTTGCAAAATGAGTTTTCATCTCAAGTTTTAGCAAATTCATTAGAAGCTTTAGTTGATACTCCTTTAATCATTATTCAAAAGAAAGTGTTGCTAGATTAGAATTACATTTAAGAGCTTTGGTTACCGTCTTAGAACGGATATGGTTTTCACCAATAGTACTTAGTAAAGAACTTCGTGATAAAGTTTATAATTCTTTAGCAAAATTTGCAGAAATTC